TTGCCCTCAGCTCACAGAAACCCGTGGGGCTGCAGCCAGCATCAACGGGGCCCTTTGTTCCCGGCGTTCCCAGATGCCACCACCCTCCTCTCCTCATGCTGAAAGGGCCCTGTGTGTACACAATCAGCCACTGGGCAGGAGCGAGCTGAGGAACAAAACACCATTTCTTTCCCCTGGCGGAGACTGGTGCCCACCCCGGCCGTGGTGAGGGCTGGGGACACACAGTAGTGTGTGAAAGCATGGCCAGGGTGCCGGGCAAGTCCGGCGGTTGAAGGACACATGTAGCCTCCTCAGGTGTGCCCTTGGCTGTGCCCGGCTGCCACCCCCCCTGGGCACATGGATCCTGCCCTCACAGCTCCTTTCTTGGGCACGCAGTGCCCTCCAGGAACTGGCTGAGAAAAGACAGGGAATAAATAAACTCTGATTCGTACCAAAGCACATCTCTGTAAAGCCCATCAGGAGAATTCCCAGGAGGAGTCTAGTGGCTGAACTGTGGCTGCACTTTGCTCCCACAAAGGCTGGACCAGAGAAGGGGACCCTGGAGCAGGTCCCATGGGCTGCCTTGCCGGCAAAAGGGCAAGGTGACTCCCACCCCTCCATCCTGTGCCCGGCCGCTCCGGGAGATGGCCCTGCGCGCCCCTGGGAGAGGAGAGGAAAGGGGAGAGAAGGGGAAGGCGGCACCCAGGGGTGTTGGTGATGACCATGGGTCCCCAGCCCTCCCCAGGGGCGAAGGGCCGTCGGGCTGATGCTCCTGCCGGCCGCCCCCGCATCTCCCGTCCTGCGGCCCCGCATCCCCGGTCCTGCGGCTCCTCCCCGCGGCCGCCGGACGCAGCGCCGGCTGTCCGGGCAGGGGACAAGGCGGGGACGAGCCCTTGTTCCCCCCGCGGCCCCGATCCCCCTCCCTGCCCTGCCCGGCCCCCGCGGCGGCTGACAGTGCTCCCCGGGGACCCCTCCCTTGAGCCTCGGGAGCCCACCGGGACACACCAGAAACATCACCGGCGGCTCCCTCCAGAGCCTTTCTCTACAGTGGGCTCGGTCCTGCACAGCTCTCAGCATGGGAACAGTACATAAAAGCTACTCTGGACATCCAGCCACAGCCATTCCTAGCCCTGACCACAGAGCACATTCCTCTGAAGCCACACAGGCAGGTACAGTCTCTTAGCAAGGGCTTGGGCTCAGCCCTGGAAAGGTGGTGTGGGATGAGCAGGAAGGCTCAGGGAAAGGGGGCAGTGCTGGAGGCAAACCCAGGGCTGCCCTGGCTCGGCCCTGCATCCTTCCACCTGCACTGACACTTGGCAGAGGGGACAGAGGGCACAGCGGGCACAGCAGCCAGGGCAGGGCACACTCAGGCTGCTCCTCAGGGCAGCTCCCCCAGCCTGGTCCTGACTTCAGTTCAGGCAGGGAAAGGGCTGTGAGGGGTGAGCTGTGCCAGGCAAGCAGTCCTGCCTGCCAGAACCATGGTGTGGTACTGTCACCTCCCTGCCCTGGAGGAAGTCCTCACCTGCCACTTCTCAGGCACCCAGCTGCTTTCTCTCCATCTCTGGGCACAGTCTGGCTATACCAGGGAATTGCCTGAATACCAGGCGGGAATAGCTGGTGGGAAGTCATAGAATCATAGAATGGTAGAACTGCCTGGGTTGGAGGGGACCTTAAAGATCACCTGGTCCCAACTCCCCTGCCACAGGCAGGGGCAGCTTTCACTAGACCAGGTTGCTCAGAGCTCCATCCAGGCACTTCCAGGAATGAGGCACCCACAGCTTCTCTGTTCCAGGAGTGGAACAGTCTCACCCAAACCCTGTGATGCTTCCAAGGCCAGAATCATCTCCCTCCGGACCCTGTTCACTGTCTGTTTTCAGCTCTCTTTTGAAATGGCCAAATTAAGGGGCTGGAGGCCCTCAGATACTCCAGCCCACATTTTAAAAGCATGATTTCCAAGGACTTTGGACCCTCCACTGCCTCCTGGAATCGTGGATAGGCAAGACCCATGAGGAAAATAAACTAAAAGGTTCTGCCAAAAGAAACAGCAGGCACAGGCTCTGCAAACACAGAGAAAGCCTCCCAAAATAAGCAGCCATCCTGGCAGGACAGCGGACAAGAACAGTCCCCATATGCTGATTTCCTTCTTGGCATCCTATGGAAATCATGCCTGGTTACAACCCCCTGGAGCCTGAGGGATCAGTTCCAAGATCACAGGAAGAACTCATAGGAAAGTACCGGGCTTGCTGCTGAGAGCCCAGGCTGAGAATTTAAAATGTAGTGACAGAAGGAAGCAATGTGGAAGGTTTCTGTTATGAAAGTGTTTTCTGATACACTCTTGAAAAGGCAAAACTGCTCATTGGATTCAGCTCGTGAGTTCTATTCCTTCAGCTCCTGGTCTAGTTAGGCACACTAAGGAATAACGAACCCCTCTGATCCCTGATCCCTTAGTGACTTCTCTCTGCCAAATGCTGTAACCAACCACATCCCTCAGGAGAACAGAATAAACCAAGCAGGCAGCCTCTTCCTGATAAAACACAAAGGCAGGTCTCTGCTGGGATGTGCATGTCCTTCCTGGGAAGAGATGCTAGAAAAGAGTATATCCCAGCTTGACATTAGCAGGGAGGTGAATCCGAGCTGGGAATGCTTCTGGGTTTTATTTTTACCACTGCTGTGGGAAAGCCTGTAAAATCTCCAGAGCCACGGCAACATGGATGCTCCTGTTCCCCCAGGCTCGGCAGGGCTGGCAGGGCTGCGTGTGTCACCTGCACAGGGACAGCTCCTGCTGCAAGCTCTTGGTGGCTGCCATTAACTTGTACTTAAGCCCAGACAACTACTGATTTTTGGGGTGGTTTATTTTTTTGGTTTCTTTTTCTACAGTGTGTCTAACAGCCATCAGGATTTTTAAAACTTGAGCTGGCAACAGGTTCCCACAGTTGTAGGAACTCCTGGAGCAGGAGATCTGTGCTGGGTACCTTGCAGATGCTCTCAGCAGCTGCTGTTAAGGCAGGAGGAGGCGAGACCCGAGGTCTGCTGGATACGAGCTGAGGGAAAACCTTACGCTGCTTCCCTTATAATGTGGCACTGTGCTCTGGGCTTGGGAGGTGGGTTTGGGACCTCCAGGGGGAGGTACCAGGGATGCCTGGAGGTATGGTCTGGCTACAAGCCCTCATCAAGAGCCCCAAATTTTTCCCCATTCATGCACAAGAGCTCACCTTGTCCTGCTGCCCTGCCCTGCTGATGGACAGGCAGGGAGAGACCTCAGCTTTACAGAAGGTCCATCCTTCAGCCCTGGCACAAACGGTGCATGGTAAAAAATGGCTCTTGCCAACAGCAAATGGAGCCCAATGCTGTTTGCAGAGGCCCAGCCCTGGGGACAGTGGACAGCAAGCACAGTGCAGTGACAGGCAGAGGGAGCCCCAGGCTAGAAAGCAAAGGGATGAGCAGGGAAAGGTGTCCAAGCCATCCAGGAGATGTGCATGTCCCTGGCACAGCAGTGGGAGCCAATGCTGCCGCCTCTGAGTGGTCCCAGCCTGGCAGAGCTGTGATATCCCCCCCTTTTGAACACCTCTGCTCTTTAGGAAACTTATGAAAAGAAAACGTCTCCTGGCTCCTCATCAGCCCCCCTGGCAGGGCCAGCCAGCACAAAAGGACTGGAGCCTGTTCCAACCCTGGGCCCCTGCAGAAACCAGCTCCAGGGGAACGGGGCTGTTCAGAGATGGAAACTGGAACTGCAGGTCAGAGGCTGGGATCTTGAAGGAAATATCAAGCAATGTTAACTGAAGAAAAATCTAGAGGCCTGGGGAAGTCAGACATAGGTAAATAAACAATAACAATAACATCCTATAAAAATCTCTTGCACCAACAGAACCTTCTCCTTAAAGAACCTATTTTTCCAGAGATTGCAAGGGCTGCTCAGATAGCATTCATTCCCCATGAATACGAGTGTTCAGCCCCGTTCAGAAATCAGATCCCTCTAAAGAACTTTGCATTAATTCTCCAGCCCCTTCCATGCACAGTTGGCCTGCAGAGAAAGGTAGGAACACCCCGGGTTCCCCCAGAGGAAATGGGGGAATGCTCATGCTCTGCATGCTCAGAGACTGCATCGTGATGGCAGCAAGCTGCTGGCACAGGGCAGAGATTGCCCTGCTCCAAAGCACAGCATCACTGCTTGATCTGAGCTGCAAAATTTACCATCCAGCAGCTCATCAGAGTGGGAGTCACACTCAGCAGCTGGTGTTTACGTGCTCAGAGTGGGCTCCTACGTGCCCATGGGCAGTCACAGCTTTGGCCAAACATTTGCAGGGGAAGTTGTAGGACATGAGGTTTGAGTGGCAAAGGCTGCAGTCAGCAAGCACTCATCTCTTTGCTATACAGATAGCCTGGAACTAACACCTATCAGGGGGCAGGAGCCTGGCATCCTTTCTAGAAGGTACTTTGGGCCCCCATCCCCATTTTTCAGCCACCTTGAACAGAGGTGGAACTGGTGCAGCTCTCTCCCCTTTGGACTGAGCACAGCAGCCAGTTAACTGACCAGACACTCTCAGTGTCTTCTCTCAGTGAAGTCTGTCATAGGAATTACAGATAACACACACTGGATTTCCCATGAGGGAATGGCATGGGTTAACTGTGCTCAGCAGCACTGCACCTGACACAACAGGGGATACACTGAATGGTTCCATGTTGCAGCATTCAGATGGGAACATCTGTGCTGGAGCAACTGAAGACGTGGATCCATCAGCTAATGAAGCACAGTGGTGACTGGCACCAGACAGAGAGGGGATTTAACAGCTGACCATGCCTGAGTCCCCCAACCACCTGCACACCTAAGAGACAGCCCACCCACCTACCATCTGGTCTGCCAGAGCACATCATCTGAGCACAGCGATTACTTGTGACAGAAACCAGCTGAAGTTTCCCACTGCAGATCTCCTGAGTAGCTCCAAACACTCTGACATGACCTGGCGAGTGTCCACATCAGTATTTTTCACCCAGGGCTTCAAGGTATGAGAAGTGAGATCTGCTGTTGAGCCTCCACAAGAGACAAGGAAACATATATTAAACAACAACAGACATAAATAACAAAAAATAACACTCACACAAGACAAAAAAAGGTGAGGAAAAACAGACCAGAAATAGGCAGCTACAAAGAAACAATGCTGTCACATTCAAACACAGGCCCATCTCTCCTTCATATATTGCTCCAGATCAGAGCTCTAACAATTCTCATCACAAGTCAGTCTCAGGACACAATGCACTTATCCCAAACAACAGATACACACACCCCAGCCTCTCCAGTATTTGGCTTTTTCACAGTCACATGGGCCAGAGTCTTTACAACAAGGTTTTTCAGGATGCTGAGCAGGCTTTCCTTTGGCAGTATGGTCATGAGTGGGTCTAGTATTTTTTTTGAGTTCAGGAATAAAATACTTCAGAGTGCTCTCAGCTTTGCTCTGCAGGCAGTTCTTGGTACAGAACAGATCACTACTGTCTTTAGTGAATTTAAAGGACTTTAACCCAGTCCTTTAAACCTGCTAAAACAGGCAGAGATGGAAGCAAGACTACGCTCACATGCTCTGTTAAACAGCTCCCTCCTGCGGATACATGCTCTGTGCCTGAGAACTCCAGGCAGGATTCAGACGGTGAGGCTGCAACTCCCCAGTGAGCACAAACCACTTATTGTCCTCGTGGCCACTCTCCTCAGAGTGCCCCAGGGCTGCCCACGCGTGTTCCCATCCAGCCGCTGGCTCCAGCAGTGTTCCCGAAGCAGCAGCCACTCTTAACAACAGGAAGACCCCGATTTGGAGCTGGAGTGCAGGTCAATGGTGTGGCCCAGCATGCAGTGCTCCAGCTGCTCCTCCACCGCCAGCACCTGTCGCACAGCTTCCTCAAAGGCCACTGTCACATTGGTGTCGTCCTTGGCACTAGTCTCCAGGTACGGATAGTTACCATTCTCCATGCACCAGGCCCGGGCCTCCTCCGTGCTCACCTGTCTCTCCAGTTTGTCTATTTTGTTGCCCAGGACTACAAATGGGAAGTGTTCGGGGTCCTTCACGTCAGCGTAATAGACAAACTCCTTCTGCCAGTTACTGAGGTTCTCGAAGCTCTGCCGGTCGTCCACGCTGAAGGTCAGCAGGCAGCAATCTGCCCCCCGGTAAAAGGGCGTCCGCAGGCTCTTGAACCGCTCCTGTCCCGCCGTGTCCCAGATCTGGAGGGTCACAAAACGCCCGTCCACCTCCAGGTCCCGGTTTAGGAACTCCACCCCGATCGTGTGGAACGCCTGCGAGTCAAACTTGTTGGTGACGTAGCGGTTCATGAGGGAGCTCTTCCCAACTCCACCATCCCCGAGGAGAATGACCTTCAGGAGCAAGGACTTCCCACTCATTGCAGCAGGACGGGGGGGGTGTCCCAAGGCAATCTGCAGGGTTCAGAAATAGTACAAAACACCCATTTGACTTGTGGATTCTGCAGAAAGACACATACAGAAGAATAGAATATGGCATTTTAATCCCCATCTCTGAACAAGTTTTGTATATAGGAGGTAATCTCCTATATAGGAGGTGATCTCTCTTTTTAGAGAGAGATCTTATTATTCTAATCTCTCTTACTAGAGAGATTACAGCTGGGGACTGGACGAGCTTTCAGGCACATGAGTCCTCCATCAGGTCCAAAATGGATTCAGTGGGTCACCACTGTAAGTGCAAGATGAGAACAATGTCGACAATTTAGTACCGATTATACCACTTTTAGTGAAAACTCTGCATCTATAAGCTTGTCCAGTTTTTCTAAACAGATCATCACTAGTTAAACATCTCTCCTGGCCTGCATCCTCAGGCTATCACAGGAACAGCAAAATCACCAGGGGTGCCTATCACCAGGCCTTCCTTCCCACTGTACCATCACCAGCTAAATAATTTCTCCTATCTGACTTGCTCCACTGGAGGGATGTAACAAACGTGCAGGTCTGTATCAATGCAAGTGATTCGTCAGGCCAGCTCTGGATCACCCTGAGGATGCTGACTCACCAGCGGAGCTGCGCGTGATCCCACGGCTCAGAAGGGGTTTCCCAGGCACAGGGACCAGCTGCTCTGCTGCTCCTTGCTGGTAATGCTTGTCACAGCCCAGTTTGCTCGGGCTCAGGTGCAAGTTTACACTGCAACAACCCCGACACCACAGGCTCCTTAGTCAGCAGCCTCCAGGCCAAGTGCCAACGCATCCTCCCCCTCCCAGGGATGCTCTACAGGCCTGACATGGAATAAGAGGTTTGTTTGGCTGTTGTACTGTACCTGCTCTGGTGATACAATTGTCTCTGGGAGTGTCCAGGGAACACTTTCCTCCAGTGTAACAGTCACTAAAAAACAAACATCAGTCATCCAGGTTGCCAGAGCTGCCCTCGGTGTCTTTGTTTGTGATGCTGATCCAGGATGGAAGAACAATAGCAGAGCTCTAGGAAGCTGCAAGAGCCATACTGATAGCTGGAGTAAAACAGGCAAGAACAAAGCACCAAGGAGTTTCCCTTGCCCTAAGTGAAATGGAACAGAGCCCACACCTGGACAGGGCAGAGCCAGTACCATGTAGATGCTACACCCAAAATAAGAACAGAATAAACTGAAGGGGCTCTGACATGACTGCACAGGCTGTGCACTCTGTGCCTCCCCTCAATCCAGGGCACATTGATAGCTGTGATCTGCTTGGCCTGCCTACTCACACACTCTGCAATCTGATTTAAGGATAGAACATGCACCTGAACCTGCTATCCAGGAGAGTGAGCCAGCTGGCAACAGCCTGGGACCTTGCTTACACCTGCTACCAACATTCCCGGGAAGGGTGTGGATGAGCAGTGCTGCTTAGTGATGACACCTCCAACCCACCAAAGCAGGAGCCCAGAACAGCACTCCTACTCTGTCCAGGCCAAACCCCACTCTCTGCACTAATTGTGGGGAGTCCTGTTCAACTCGGATTCTGCACCCCTTCCAAACAGTGTGGTAACCACAAAGCCAAAAGCAGAAACTTCTGCTTCTAGCGAATTTCTGCACTTTCTGCACAAAAGGCTCACCAATTTCACTTCCCTGCACAGAAACAGCCCAAACCCAAGCATAGCTGAGCTAACTTGATGGGACATCTGTGTAGCAGTGCACGGTCCAGCAGTCCTAAAGCAAAGAACAAAATGCAAATGTCACAAGAGACAAACAGGACGTGCAGCACAGCTCCCTGGGGCCGCTGGCTTGGGGGAACCCTCCCCTGGGCAGGTGAGCTGCTCAACACCCTTGTTCCTTTCCCAAACCTTGCTGAGGGCGGGTTGAAGATGGTCCGGCCACAGGCCATCAGCCCAGAGCAGATTTTCTGTTTAGAGATGGTTTGTTAGCAAGTGACTCGTTTTAAGAATGACCAGTAGGTGATGTCGGGCCGCTCCGGAGCCCGCAGGTCAGCGGGGCGGTGGAAACCATGACACAGCCGTGACACCGACAGCACATCCTCGTCTGCCCCGCTGTGAGCTATTCCAGCGGCTGACCCCCACTGCAGCAGGGCCGCCAGCACCTGTGTGCAGGTAACAACACAGGGAACACCAGCAGGGCAGGCATGCAGGGCCCGACTCTCCCCCCTCCCCGCTCCCCAGGCCCCGGCTCGGCGGAGGTGAGACCCCCCGGCGGGTCCCACGGGAGCGACCAGGGGAGGTGCCCGCGGAGCGGTACCCGCGAGGTGCCCCTCGGCGGGGGCAGAAGGGCGGCTGTCTGTCCATCCCCGCCGTCCATCCCCGCTCCCCTGCCCTGCCCTCACTCACCCTCAGCGCCCTCCGCCCGCCCGGCCCGCGGGGCGCAGGTGCCGCTCAGCCCCGCGCCTGCGCCGCGCACGCGCCTCCCGCCGCCTGCCGAGGGCGGGGCGGGGCCGGGACCCGCCCTTCGACCCGCCCGGCCCCGCCCCCCGGACCCTCAGTGACCGGCTGGGCGCTGTCCTCACAGTGCCCACTGTGCCCCCCGGCAGTGCCCTCGCAGTGCCCACTGTGCCCCCTGTATCCGGCAGTGCCCTCACAGTGCCCGCTGTGCCCCCTGTATCCGGCAGTGCCCTCACAGTGCCCTCACAGTGCCCGCTGTGCCCCCCGGCAGTGCCCTTGCAGTGCCCACTGTGCCCCCTGTATCCGTCAGTGCCCTCACAGTGCCCGCTGTGCCCCCTGGCACTGCCTCACAGTGCCCACTGTGCCCCCCAGCACTGCCCTCACAGTGCCCACTGTGCCCCCTGTATCCGTCAGTGTCAGTCCCTGGCACTGCCCTCACGGTGCCCACTGTGCCCCCCGGCAGTGCCCTTATGGTGCCCACTGTGCTCCCTGTATCCATCAGTGCCCTCACAGTGCCCACTGTGCCTCCTGTATCCGTCAGTGTCAGCCTTCGGCACTGCCCTCACAGTGCCCACTGTGCCCCCCGGCAGTGCCCTCACAGTGCCCACTGTGCCCCCTGTATCCATCAGTGCCCTCACAGTGCCCACTGTGCCCCCTGTATCCATCAGTGCCCTCACAGTGCCCACTGTGCCCCCTGTATCCGTCAGTGCCCACCCTGTCACTCCTCTCACAGTCCCGGCATGTCCCCCCGTGCCCCCTCACTGCCTGCCCCTGTCCCTCCCTGCACAGTACCCACATGTTCTGCCTGTGCCCCCTCAGTGCCCCCCATCACCCCTCACAATCCCGCATGTCCCCCCTTTGTCACTTCGGTGACAGCTGCCCAAAGGAGCGCGACTTCTTCCACCCTCCCCATTGCCAAGCGGGACCAGGAGCAAGAATGTCTTAAAGAAAGAGGTTTCCTGGGAAGAGCAGCAAATACAAACATCACAGAGAGCTGAAGGGAAAAAATAGTGACAAGGTCACCCCAGCCCGGGCCAAACAGTGAGGGGAGATAGGAGAGGGAGGGTGAAACCAGACCTCAAGGTGGCTGCAGAAGGGTTTTGGGGAGCAGGAGCCACTTTTGTGGTTCCTTCTGGCAGGCATTGTCAACTCTTCTGCCTGCCAGTGCCTGGTACCCCCTGAGATACACCTCCGAAACTTGGGGACACATCTCACTTTGTCCCCCAGACATCTTCCCCAGGGGGACAAGAGCAGGGACCCCTTGCACGGACACCCAGAGCTTATGGCTGTCTAAACCCAGCACCAGCTCCAGGGCCAAGTGAATGCCACAGGAGTGCACTGATTCCCTCCTCCCCCCTGGAAAGGCATGAGATGGGAGGAGGATTTAAATTAAGCCAGGGATTATATTAATACCAGCCTCGATCTGTCAGAGGAGATGGGGGACAAGGCAAGCCTAGGGAGGTAAGCAGGGGGTGGCCAGGACGAGGACCCATGTTGCCAGCCTGGGATCAGGGGAGCCTGGGTAAAAGGGGGGTGCTCCTGGGACCTGTATTTGGGGCACCAATATACACACCAGCATCAGAGCCAGAAGCTCAGGATGTTGCTAATACAAGGGACAGACCCAGGCTGCACCACGTGCTGGGGCTTTCTCTGAACCAGTCTGGGTCCCCATGCCAGCCCTGACAGGACCGTGCATTGCTAGGGTGAGCCTCTGAGCATGGCACACTTGCCCCTGCCAGCTCCCTTTGCCTGGCAGCCGTTTAATCCTGTTATTTGCCAGTACTTATTAATTAGAGACCTGATTTAGCATGTAAGGGGTGAGACACCTCCTGAGGAAGAAAGAGCCACCACAGCAGATTCTGCTAAGGCAACTGGGGCACGGTGCTCTGCAGCCATTCCCTGACACCCTGGACCAGCCCCCTAAGGGCTGGCAGACACCAAATCCTCAGGGGATGCTGCCTGCAGGGTTTGGGGAGGGCAGCACAGCCAAGGACACCGCAGGGCCAGTGACCCCAGCTGACTGTGCCCGTGCCTGAGGGGCCCCCATGTATCTCCAGGTTAATCCTTGGGCACTTGCAGCTGTTGGGGACTCACTTGCCCATCTGAGCAGGGATGTGCCTGGTCTGGTTTGACTCCCAGTGCTTCTTCAGCCTGGTTGCCTTGCTGAGCTGGGCAACAACCTGTTTGGCATCTGTGGTGGACTGACTCTGGTGCCCACCAAGCTGCTCTATCATTCCCCTCCTCAGCAGGACAGGACATAGCAGACAGAAAAAACTTGTGGGTCAAGACAAAGGCAGTTTAATAAAGCACAAGCCGCATGTAAAAGCAAAAGACTGCAAAGGATTTGTTCTCTACTTCCCATCAGCAGGCGATGTCTGGCTGCTTCCCTGGAAGTAGGGATTAAGCACACATAGTGGTTGCTCCAAAAGATGGTTGCCTTCTTGTATCTCTAGAGCAACTACGCTGAAAGCCTTCTTGGGTGTCCTCTTAACAGCTCTCTTCCCTCTCAAATCTCATACATGGGCTTCCAGCTCCAAGGTGGGTTCCCCATTCCACTCTCTATTGTCCTCCCCTGGTCAGGCAGGGAGAACCTGTAGAGTACACCACATAGCATGCACCTGAGGCTCTCTTTCCCTCTGGCCAGGGCAGGAAGGGACTGACTTCTTGGAGTGCCCCTGACAGCCAAGGCACTGACCTGTAGGGATGAGAAGGGATAGATATTTCTCTGAAGTTCTGGAGCCAAGAAGATACTGTCTCCCCAGCTGGTGTATCCACCGTATCCATCACTGCCAAGCTGTTAGAATTACACTAGTGCACTCTGAATCACCTTCCTCCACACGGTTCATGTGCACAGGTCATCCTCTGGATCTTTGGAGACCTCATGATTGTCTAGATCACTATACGTGACTCTTCAGCACCAGTTAATTCTCTCACGTGCTGGGTGCCTTCACTTGTGGTTGTCCACTTTCCTGAGTAGTTCACAAGATCTTCCTTGAATTAATACCTTACCCTCACACCTGAGAGGAGATGCCTGAAAATACTGCAAATTGTGGCCACAAATAGCTGCAGTGGTAATCAGTAGTATTAAACAGCTCACATAGTGGTGAGCAGGGACCTCAGGAGCCTGCACAATAAAGCCACCCACACCAGTCCCGGCTAGGGAGAGGGAGATGTATTCCCTGATCCACTCCACGAGACAGCTCCCCCAGCAGAGCAAGGCCATCAGTGTACAGGGCAAAGCACAGAGCAGTGGTTTGTACTAACATGTTCCCAAGCCCAGGAAAGCAAAGAGATAAGCAGTGCAGCCAACAAACTGTGACCTGACAGGAGCTGCCTGCTTAGTAAATACTACAGCTATAGCACACTTAGCACAGGCTAAGGAACAGGCTTATCTGGGCACTGCCTTGTGAGCACAGAGAGCTGGCACTGGATGGGACCTCGCTTGTGGGTCCTGGGCACCCCTGGGCAGAGGGATTTCTCTGGAGGTGGTGTTGTGACCCAGGAGACATGTGCTGGGTGGGGAGTACAAGGGCTGTGGGGGCTGCACGGGGCAGCAGGGCAGGGACTCTGCGGGGTGCTGGGATCCTGCAGCAGGAGAGGTTTTACTCCCCAGGGCTCAGCTGCAGCCATCACCTGGCTCTCACTCTCAGCTCTGGGTGTTACGACAAATGGGAGAACGCTGGTGCCAAGGTGAAGGAGCCCTGATCCAGCTTCGAGCGACTGCCAGCCCATGGTCACACAGCACTGCCAGCTCATGCCCCGATTAATTCATCCCACGTCCTGTGCTGCAGCTGGGGCTTGGGTCTCTGCCTTTGTTCCAGCCCCGGTGCAAGGCTCCACAGCTGCTTCTCCAAGGGCTATGCCCAGCAGCAGCTCCTGCCCATGGCATCTGCTCTCAACACTCCCCAGCACACAGACCCCATGAACAGCCCTGCCACCCTCTGCCTTGGCAGCCCCTGTTTTCCCCAAGCCCACAACTCTGAGCAGTGGTTGACAAGCACCTCACCACCCATTAACCTCCCCAAGAAGGAACTCCACAGCTGGAGCAAAGCTGGAGAAGACACCCCGATGCGTCCCCCTCCACCCCACACAGCTCAACACGCCCTAGAGAAGTGACCTGTGCAGTTCCTGTGAGCTGGTCTGAGGCAGCAGGGAGGGGCACATGCCTGGGCTGCAGAGCTGCCTCTCTGAGACACAACACTGCAAGCAGGGGCTTGTCCGACCATCAGTGCAACCGCAGGCCTCTCAGCGGCCCAGCCACTCACCACTGCCACAGCCTCTGTCCTCACCTGCTTGTCCATCCCCTGCTCTTCCCCTTGGCCAGTTATCAGGGACAATGTCGGATGACAAGGCGGTAGAGCAGGTAGCACCATAGGAGGAAGCACCAGACATAGTTCTACCCTGATGTAGGTGCACAAGCAGGCTGGGGCTTCAGGACACATCATGAGGCATCTGTTGCAACATGTTTATCTGCTGCCCATGGCTCCTGAGCTGGTTCCTGGAAAGCCGCAGAGGCGTCTGGCAGGCACCAGCTGACGGCTGCATGGAGGGGAGTTCGCCCTGTGCTGCCATGGGCTCTGCTCTGGGACTCACAGCAAAGGCACATGGCAGCAGGGACGGAGGAGGGGGACAGAGGGGCATATGGCACCCTGGCTGCCTCTTGGTGAGGAAAGTGCCTGGACAGAGGGACAGAGGGAAACTGCTCCTGCTGCTGCTCTGGAGGTGCCTCCATCCTGCCTGTTGGTGATTCT